AATGTTGTATGTCAATTATACCTCAGTTAAAAAAATATATCCCTCCAATAGCTTTGTGTGTCGTGCAGAGTAAATGAGCCAGAGTCCTCTAGGCCCTGTGATTTTACATCCTTACCTCTCCAGCCTTGTCTCCTCCCCCTGCCCCCTTTGCGTGCTTTGGTCCAGCCGCCCTGTTCATCTTGCTGTTCCTCAAACATCCTAGACATGCTCCCACCTCAAGGCCTTTGCAGTTTGCTGTTCCCTATGCCTGGAGTAATCTTCCTGTATTAGTTAACTTTTACTGTGTGCCAAATCACCACAACACTTAATGGCATAAAATATTTTAAAAAGGAATAGATCTGACATCTTTGTGTCCATTTCTCAAGGGGGATTTATTTACTCTTGCTCCCCAAAAAGGAGGTAAAAAGGAATTTGAGCTATTTGCATTGTCTTGAGCAGTGTTTCTCACACTTTCTGTAGTGAAGGACCAGGTTTTAAAAATTTTTATTTCCATCTGTTGCTGACCAATCTGTAGTCCTATTACGCCTACCAGGAATGCAGCTTGCACTTCCTGTGACCCTCCATGCTAGTTTGACAACACCCCAACTGGCTTTTGTTCTGTTTAAAGGAAGAGTTTCCTAATCGCGTACGTGGTTATGTGGCAGTGTTGAATTGCTGTAGGTTCTAGCCCTTGCTCTAAGTTCCCGCCCCCCAAAGCCCCAGTAGATAGTTGTATGTCATAGTTGCACATCCTTCTAGTTGCTGTATGTGGGACGCCGCCTCAGCATGGCCGGAGAAGCGGTGCGTCAGTGCACACCCAGGATCTGAACCCGGGCCTCCCGTAGCGGAGCGCACGCACTTAACCGCTAAGCCACGGGGCCGGCCCCTCTAAGTTTCTGAACTTACTTTGTCACAGATGATAACAAACTCTTTGCAGGTTGGCGCCAGCCCATAGACCACACTTTCAAATCACTGGTCCAGGAGTGATCTCTCTTTTGGCAAAGTAGCTAAACCACAGATGAGGAGACCTTTCTGGGCACAGCATGGAATAATGATTGCTGCTAAAGGGTCACCATGTTAGAACAATAGTTTCAGATGAGTTACAAGCTTTTCTTCGAAGAAGAGTTTCTTTTCCTAGAAGTGAAAAGACATTTAAAACAAAAGTGATTTTTTTTTTACAAAGACATAAAAACAAAAGTGATTTGTTTTTAATTTTGTTGTATTTTTTTTTACATGCAATTTATCTACCTATATAGTCAAGGGCACTTAACTGCTCAGTTTTTAAATTGAAACGGAAAATTATATAGCTGAAAGCCAAATGCACATTCTAAAACACAAAGTCAGTGTAGAACATAGAATTAGAGGGTGGCAGATAATTAGATTCTTAGATATACCATCCACATTATTAGATATACATCTGATAATTTAATTGGGTGATGCTATGAAAGGATATTACTTCTTAGGTAAAATTTCTGAGAACTTATGAGTTGAGCTAGATCTATTAAAAATTGTTGAATCCAAAATTATAACCTCTGTAAATATATAAATAATGATCATTAATAGGTCATTTCCATAGAAATACAGTCATGTGCCACATAACGTCGTTTTGGTCAACAACTGACCACATATTAGATAGAGGTCCCATAAGATTAGTACCATGTAGCCTAGGTTTGCAGTGGGCTATACCATCTAGGTTTCTGGAAGGACACCCTATGATGCTCGCACAAAGAAATTGCCTAACGACAACGTTTCTCAGAATATATCCATGTCGTTAAGCGATGCATGACTGTGTTATTCCTTAGGAAGTTTCAACATCTATTTATTAGATAGAAATGGACCTTTTATCATTAAAGTATAAAAATACAATAAATAATAAGTACATTTAAAATTTTTCTTTTAATTTAGCCATAAGCTTTCAGTACGAAATTACATGAGACTTTGTAATTAACATTTTATAGTCTATAGCTATGAGGGGAAAAATGTTTATAGGTTACTTAAAAAATATAGTGTGCTTTCCCCCACAGCCTCCAACTCCTATCCCTCAAGAATAGTAAGGATTTTCAAAGGCCCCAAATCTTTTAACAGAGCTGGTTTTATGACAAAAATCTGTCCCAAAGGGACATTATTTGGGAATACAATTTCATATCAGCTCTTACTTTGTAGGTATAATTTTGGATCATTACATAAAAATATAGAATATTTGAAAACTTACTTTTTATTTTGTATTCAGTATGGAGATTTATTCCCAGAGTGAGGCTTTTCTGATGCAAAATTGGAATGCTTGTGTAGTCACAACAGCTGTCCCCACACCATGTGGTATCTTCCATTAACTTTACTGTAGAGATGAATTTTTGGCCCAGTGTCTCAATAATATTGGACACACATGGTTTTAAGTGGCAAAGCAGTATGCTTATGCATTCATTTGACTTGCACAGCTACAGTTGGCTCCAGATTAGAACAAGGAGAACACATTCACACCATGGCCACCCTCATGGCTGCTGTGGTAGCTGGATCACAGTAGGCTCTGTTGCTTCTAAAGACACAACTAACTATTGCTGAAGAATTACACATTCACCAAACTGCCTTACAGCTGTAGGAGAGAGAATAATGAATTGCTAAAAGGATTCTCTCAAAGATTTCAGATTATGGTCCTAGTTATTATTGATCTAGGTTTTTTTTTATATTAATAAAAATCATGGCTATTAAATAACTATGAAACTAAAAGGAAAGATCATCATAACAGATGATTTTTCAGCATATCAGCCCAAATATTTGATTTAAAATTTTTCCTTCCCAGAAAAAAGGTGACACTGTACTTTTAGACTCATTAAGGAGGAATTAAAATCAGATTTTTAATGCCCATTGTTCATGTATTCAGCATATTTGAAAAGCCAGTCTATTAAAAATAGAAATTAAAGAATTAGTTTACTATGTGAAACAATGGCTTATATTATGGACATTTTAGAAATTTTGTTTGCCCCAAAAATGTTTGTTATAATTAATGCAGAAATAACACGATTTGATAATAGTGTGAGTTTGCATTGATATACTATATAATTTGACTTATATCTCTGTGCAGTGTCACCTTAATGCTCTTCATGGTATGACTTTGTACTATAAGCTTATATTTAAATTCTTCATAACTCTTTTGCATTTCTGAAGCCAATTGGTATAGTTATTAAAATTTCAGCTTTTTAGCAATAAAAATATGATTTCCTTGAAAATCCAATTATGTCCCTCTAAATAATATCTGAATACTAATATTTTCCCCTAAATAAAGTAAAAACAAGCAAAAAGAAAGAAAGAAAAAAACCTTCAGTGTAAATTTTTAAATTATCTGATATGGAGAATTAAATTTCTGATATTCATTAAATATCAAAGAAATTCTGACCATAGCCCATGTAGGCTACCTTTTTATAGAGGAGAATTTATGCATGTATCCTACGGTTGCACTGATGAATATGTTTGAGGCTTTCAGCTTTTAGTGGATACAAAATAGAATGATTGATAAAATCCTCCCTACTATTGGCTATTATTTACTGACTCTTAAGTGGCAGGTTGTATTTATGCCAATTTATCTGCTTCAGGGAACATTCTTGATAGCAGAACAAAGTGAATAAAAGTAGTTTGCTTTGCAAATGAATGCAAATGGGAGAGCCATTCGGAAAGCCCTTTAACAGGGGCAGCGCACTTTGATTATGAGTGAAGCTGCCATTTGGACATGGTGAAAAGAGCACGCTTGAACCATTGATTGGGGGAGACAGTAAAAAGTCAGGAAGGGCCCCGTTAAGCTTGCAGTGAGGCAGGCGGATGTCAGTGTGGTTAGAGCACAGTGGGAGAATGACAGGGAGGATTAGTGTCAGGGAGAAGCTTTGCTGTAGCTGTGGAGATAGTCCCTGGGGTCACTCACCTCTGACTGTTGTTCTGTGCTGATGGTTCTGTAATGCAAACGGCCTGATGTATGCCTGTTCATTATCGGAAACGGTGATTAGAAAAGGTATTTGTCTCAAAGGTTTCCTTCTTGCTTTCTTTTTTTTTCTTTCTTTTTAATTAAAGGAAACTAAGGTGGGCTTCCTCCATCTCTCTGCTGACTCCTGGAGTATCGTTTAATACCAGAGTGGTTACTGCCTCTGGAAGGAATAGTTTAGTGCTAAAATGTAACGTAGAATAATTGTGACGCAGTTGTTCTTTGGTAATAGTTTCTTTTGCTTTGCTCCGCTTTGGGTTTGACCAAGTGGTCCTGCTGAATAAAATGCAGAGAATATGCTTGCTCTTAGAATTTTGGCTTTTGCAGAAAAGATTTTATGATCTTTAAGGTATTTTATTATCCAATTTAGTAATTTGATCAACTTTTAGAAGTTATTTACCTTCTCAAAAGTGAAATGGTTGGTTTGCATGCACTTGATGGTTTAAGTCTTGGTTGCAGGAGTTTCTAGTTTTATTCCTGTTTCCAAGTTTTATAAAATGCTAGCATATGATAAGTTAAACTTCCTGAAAACACATGATGTTTAGAATCAAATATTGTTACGTAGAATGAACAAAAATCTCAGCTCTGATTCTAAATCAGTACATTTACTTGTTCACATTTTCATTTATGCTTATAAAGTTTTTTGCTTTCTTTAAAGTATAATTTTTCTGAAAACTTTAAGACCTTTTATAGTAACCTTATGTGAGGCATTTGTGAGCAGCAGTGACACAATGTATTTCATAGCTTTGAGGATGTTTCCTCACTTTAATGCAAAACTGAATCGTCTTTTTTTTTCCTTTAATGTCCTCAAAAACCTGGCGTCACAATATTTCTGCTTTCTTATCTGGTATATATAGGAAAATTTTAAAGGCTGCTGGAGCTTTACGTTCTAATGTTAAATATGCAACGCAACCCTTTATCTAAATTATCAGGTACATTTTAATATTCTTGTTTTTGCAGAAAGCATATTGCCAGTAGTTTGTTTCACAGGCTTATTAAATGTTTTAGCAAACATTCTCTAAACGATGTTTTTTTTTTCTGTAATGTTTTGCAGGCACCTGAATGGACAGAAGAGGACCTCAGCCAGCTGACAAGAAGTATGGTTAAGTTCCCAGGAGGGACCCCAGGTCGATGGGAAAAGATTGCCCACGAATTGGGTCGATCGGTGACAGATGTGAGTTCACTCAGATTTGCATTGTATGGAGGGTGACAAACCAGAACAAGCCAACTCCATAGAAGGCAGACATAGATGCCTCCGACATTATCTTTGGAGAAAGGTTGCAATCCTTTTAGGACCTGGAAGTGAACCATTGACGACATAAGTAAGAAGCAGATGTCAGCCAGTCCTCTGGTCCACAATTAACAGCTGTGCGAGGAATTCTAGTGTTTAGAGACTTAAGCTACTGTAACCAAATCACATCAAAACAATGCTAGTTTTTGTGTTTAGAGTGACCCCTTTGGCTGCGGAAAAAATAGTTCTCAGACTGATCAGAATCAGAGAAGTTATATTTCAGGTGGATCTTTTTAACATTGAAGTACAGATTGCTGTAGGTATTTAGACAGGTGGTTTGCATTAATTAAATGAGCAATATTCTTAGAATGTTTGTATTTTTATTTCAAGGATGATACCTATCATCCATTTTGACTATTTGTTTAACCAAAAAATATATATATATGTATATATATGATTGGCCATACGTAATATTTAAAAGACAAAGTGTTTACCCGGAAAGTTTATATTTAACACGTTGGGTGCTTTTATTCAGGAAATTTAGGGCAGAGAATCTTACAGAAGCACCTGCCACTGAGCCTGACATGTACTAAAAACTTGGTAAATTTTTACTTGAAAGTGAGAGAAATCTTTATTTTCATTAATGTGATTCTTATTTTTCATAAATGATAGTAAATATTCTTCACTAAACAAATTCTTTACCAAATTTACTTTAAATAAATCCTATAGATCTAAAATATTTAAAGGGTCACTGAAAACAAAGATTCACATGTCCTCTTCAATTCTGTTAGTATTGAAGTACCTTTGGGTCTTTTTGGGTAATGAACAATTTAAAAACCCTGCAAAATGATTAATGAACACAACTTCCAAAAAAAAAAAACCAACTTGTTACATAAATGCTGTTGAGTTATTTTTCACAGTAAACTTCCACTTTTTTAGAAACAAACTTATAAAACATATTACTGTCAATTTTTTGGGGGGGAGGGTAGGAGCTGCTTTGAGAATTTTACGTTATTTATATGAATGTACTACCGTGTAGGTCTTTTTAAAATCACATTTAAAAGATTACTATTTAAATCTTTATAAGATATTTTGCATTATTTTGGCTTCAGAGTTAAAGTCTGATCATCTGGAAAAATAGCTTTTGTATCTTGTAACAAATTTTGTGTTTTTTGCCGTGTTTCTTGAGGAGACCAGTTATCTTAGGTAATTGGACTGGAGGACTAGAGACCCATAAGGATACCTTTTCTTCTGCTAAGAATGTTACTGGGATGTACGTTTTATTGTCTTGTTTTAAGGTTGTTTGTAAAAGATAAGTTAATAATGCTTTATAAGTACATATCTGATCAAATTAAAGATATTCCATGGTTATTGATGTTTTAAGTACTATGACCCTCTAATTATTCAACTACTGTTAATATAATGATTAACAAAAGTTACTAAAATAATTTTTAGAAAGTTGTAAAACAAACATTGGCTTAAAGGGCCCCAAAACGTTTAGCTCAACTGACTAATGAGAAAGGGTAGCTCACTAATGTGGTGTCTCCTTTGAAGACAGCATTCCCTTTAACTTTGTAAGTAATATTTCTATGAGACCTTACAGTTAATAATGCCAGAAGCAAATGGGAAATGTAATAAAGCAATATTTTAAATTAATTTGTTGTCATTAAAATCTGGTTAAATTTTTATATTTTTAAGAGGAGAGACATGCAAGTTTAAATGCTAAGAGTATATATGATGTAACCAACAGAGCCTTGAGATTGCTTGTTATATCACAGATCTAGAAAATCTTTACATAATTTACAGGAGTAGTCTTAGTGCAGTCTTGGTGTAGGCAAAGACGTCTTTTCAAACTATTGCAAATTCATCCCATTTGTTTCAATTTATTTTCTTCTAGACTTACCCAAGGGAGACTGATTCCATGTCTGTAATAGATTTTTTTTTATCATGGAAGTAGGAAACATGACTTTTTGAGATGTTTTTTTCCTCCAAATATTAGGTTCTATTTTCAAAATACCAAAAGTACCTTGGAAATAAATATTTAGTAAACCTAAACATTTTGGGCACCAAAAATGCCATTGTAACTTGTGCTCTGTCAGTATATATATAGACTTACACTGCATTTTCATACTGTGAGCATCATCTCCATAGCTGGACTATACATTTCATTTCAGTAACTACACACACACACACACACACACGAACTATAAATCACTCTCTCTAAAAGAGAACAGGTGTCTGAAGATTCCAATAACTCATTTAAGTGAACACACAGTAAATTACATTGAAGCAGCTGAAATCAGGGGTCGGCTAATACATTTCCTTTGGTAGAATGTTAAGTGAAAGTTAATCACACTTTCGAAGATCACTTATATTTCTTTTTGGCTTATGGTGTTAGTTAGATTTGTTTTCATTAAGTATTTGAGTATGAAAAAGAAACCAAGTTTGGTTTGCTGTCATTGGAACCTCTGCTTACTGACCTGAGCACTGGTACCACTGCTCCCCAGCTCTGCACATCTGTTCTTTGACCCGTTTTCCTTGCTAAATTTGTAGCTTCAGGCTTAGTTCTCTTTCCTTCAAGAAACAATTGACCTTTTTTGGGGAGGGGTGAGAGTGTGCCTGTGGCGGGATCTATATGTTATTTATTTGGGTTGACAGATTATAGTAAAAAACCTATTTTATTCCTCAGGAAAGGTGCTTTTAGTGTGTTAATTGTCATAATTAACGAGTTAAATTGCTAAATTCTACTCTGGATAAACACAAGGAATGTTATTAGCTTTGTAAAAAAATTAATGCAAAGTGTATTTTAACTCAGATATACCTAAACTGTAAGATCTACTTTATTATAGATTAAATATTTTAAATGTTAATATATGCCATTCAGCAAATAATTTTGGTAACCACAAAGGACACTCGAATTGTAAAAACAACAGAGGAAACAAAAACTGTCTGGCATGTGAAACCAACTTTAATGTGATTATTAACTGCAGGTTTTCTAAATTAAGGTCAGGGAGCCTCAGATTTCTTGCTTGTGAAGTAATATCATTCTCTGGCCTGAGAGGATGTAAACTGATTCTGCTTCTCTCCGTGGTCACTAATCTCTTGCATTCTGGTTGTGATAACAGACTGATTGGAGATTTTCTGCCTGCTTGGAAAAAGCCCAGGTAGGCAGCAAAACAAAAGACAGGTGGGTAGATTTAGACAGGCTTTTATAATTAGCTTAGCGCCACCGTCAGAGGTAAGAGGTGTGTAGTTAGATAAGTGGCCCCATATGCAAGTGAAGGGGGGGAGATCATAAAATTCACAATTTTATTTTATGTAGCTACAACTAGCGAGGAGATAGAGGAGACACCTATTGGGGGATTTATATGTTGTTGTGGCAGTTGTTTCAAAAATCTGGAAGTGGACTATTCAATAGAAAATAAATTTAATGGTTTATCAGTGAGCTAAATATATAGTAATTATTTTTGTAAATACATTATTGCTATTACTTTTAGAGTCAGACTAGTCCTAAACAAGTTATAAGGTGACAAGGATTGTCCTTTTAATGTTCTGTCCTCCTCCTCACCACCCTCTCAGCCAGGCTTCCTGCTATGGCCGTTGTCTTGACCTCACGCTCCTCCCTGCCTTCTTCCCTCACCTTCTCAACCTCACGACCTTTAAAGACATCCCGGTTTTAGACAGGAATGAGGCCTTTATCCCATTCTTCTTGCTAGATGAGTCACTAGCTAATCTAATAACCAATTTTCAATCCGCTATTAATAGATAATAACTTAATGTGTTACCAAATCTCACACACACTTTAATAGAAGCCTTCAGGTTCTTATCCAAGTGTATGAATGATTGGTGTAAGAATTTCAGGCAACTTGATTGCCTGCCTGAAGGAAAGAGAAGGCAGAGCGTTATTTTGAGGTAGTAAGACCTTTTGAAGTCCATCAGAGAAAACTATATAATTAATTCTCAATCTGTGCCTTGGCCTGGTTAGAGTTTTGCTACATATTATATGATTTCTGGGCCAGAGGTTTATAAATTTGCATTCTGTGTCACCATTTCTATCTCAACATTGAGCAAAATCACACATAGGACAAGATGATAAACTGTGTACTTAAACAGTTTATAATCTAATTCTAGAAGGCTGGTATAACCCTACCTAAAGATATCCAACTAACAAAACACCAAACAGAATAACATTGCAAAAATCAGTTGAGATCAAATCGACATTTTTAACTATTTTAAGTGATAATACTGAGTATTCCATCATTCATTTTCATAGTATTTTACATCTTTCGAAATATTTAAATATGCATTATTTTACTTGCTCTTCACAACAGCATTGGGAGGTAGATATGCAACCATTATTTATCCCCATTTTACAGTTGAGTAAACTGCTAAGATATTTGTTCAAGGTGACACAACTATTGGTGGAGTTGGGACAACACCAAATATTTTGATTCCTCGTCTAATATGTTCTTATCACTACTTAATGCTGTTGTGTTGCTGTGTTTATGAAAAATACGTTAAAGATGTCTAGAGACTTTTATCATAGACCATTTTTGGTAAAACTCTGTGTTCGAAGAAAAAGAAAAACTTTAAAAAAATACACTGAAGTAAAATTTTTTTTCTAATCAACCATAAAAAAAATGACTTCTATAAATATTTTGTTATATATCATTTTAGACTTTAGTCTTCCTATATATGACCGTACATAATTTTAACTGTATTAATCTGTATCACTTCACTAGGAAACATGAGCTTCTTTCCATGACGATAAATAAGATTCACATCATTTTTCTAAACACTTATATAATACTCCATGTTGTTTTGATATAATTAAGGGGCATCCTACTGATTATCATTTAAATTGCTTCCTTTTTTGCTGTTTCACTGGGATGTCTATTTTTTTTTTTCTTTTTTCATTCATCTTTCCACTTACATCTGTTTTC